ATATTACTGTGGTTTCATACGTTTGGCTGTAATTAAATAAAAATTTGTTTTGTTCAAAGTTGTAAAAACGTTAAAAAAAGCAGTGTTTTCACATTTCATAGATTTTCTCGGAAACTATAAAAGCTGGAATAGATCCAAAATTGTAATTCGTGTTCAAAATTTAAAAACTCGACTGAAGGAAGAGTGTTCTCGATGCATATGAAATGTATATGATGTGCTCAGTTCTCCTGTAATTTTTTTGAATAAGGATAGTAAAATTTTACCTGTTTTACATCATGGCACACCTTTCCGCAAAAATCATTAGTTTAGAACGAGGAATCAACGAAACATCAATTGCAATCATTGTTGTTAGTGTGTGTTTGGGTTTTGTGGATGTGACGTTGAATGGAGAATAAATAATGTAATAATGTAATGCTCGTAAAGTATATTCGTGTTGTCGTAATTGCAAATCGCTGTGTTGTATTCAGTTATTGTACTAATAGGAGAAGCTCTGGGCATTGCTGGAGCTGGAGCTGACGCCGAGGTTCAGCAGGTTGAAGCCGGCGATTCCGGCGCCGATCGAGGTGGCCTTGGAGTTGCTGCTCGCTCCGGTTCCGGCGCCGGCCAGTGCCGCGGAGGACGCTTGCGATTGGCTCAGTCCCAGATTCAGGAGACCGCCCAAACTGGCGCCTAGGCTTTGCGAGCTAGCACCCGATTGGCTGAGGACGGGCAGACCGAACAGTTGCCGTTCGTCACGGTCAACGCCTGCTGAAAGAAAGCACATTTAGGTTTTCGCGATGCAATTTCTTTCGCTTACCCAAGTTGCTGACGGTTTCGGCTGCAGTCGTTTTCAATTGCTCATCACCAGTCGCGACTGACACGCGCCTACTGTCGATGACGCCACCTGAAAACAGTCGAGCGTCTATTTAAACGAAACAATTGAATAAGAATCTGGTACTTACCGTGGGTTTGACCCAGGACGAAGACGGCGATGAAGATCAGAGCGAAGCACTTCATGGTTATTATTGTTGTTGTTGTTGGTATTTGGATGGACTTCTGACGACTGTTTGATACACAATTCTTCGATCGCCGAGTCTTTTATACGCGCTCCACCGGTGATTAGTCTAAAACGATCACTAATGCATTTTCAAATTTCGATAATTTCCTTTGTTCTTCGCTCTAATCTGAATCCAAAAATATAACGGCGATGCGCTTAATCGTTTTTTTCTCCTTCTTCATTTTACGTTAACGTTGAGCAATCATTAGGAAATGGTTGGTACACTTACATTTGCAAGAAATAGATGCACACAATCACTAATTGCGTTTAGAATAAGAGAAAATCGTAAGAAAGTTGATCAAATTTCAGATTAAAGTTATAAGAATAAGTCTAATTTGTTGTTGTATTCAATTGTAATTTCGTGTGCGAATAGGATACATGAAAACGGTGAGTGCAGGATGGATTTGTGTAACCGGTAAATAATAAAAATGTGTCTGTGCAATCACATGAATTATAAAATGTATTGTATTTGTTTTTGCAGCGTATCTTAATTACAAAGTGGAAAAAGAGAGAGAAGTGAAAAGTTACGTTTTACCCTCTGATTATCGTGTCATTGGGATAGAATCTTGATCGAATCGCGAATACGATCTCTCCTCAGAAGTCAATAACTCCTCACTTTCGGGCGACGGCTCGCTCATGTACATTTTCTTCGAATCTGAAAGAGAAAAATTTAAAATTACTGCAAAAAAAGAATTAAGAAATAATTAAATCGGTTACTTAGCTGGGCGATGGTGGCGATCGCGCACAGGGCGAGAATGACGAACGCAAAGAAGTACTTCATGCTTAACAACAACAAAAAGAGTTATGCAAGTGCACGAATGGATGCAAGAGGTTTTTATACTGAAGGAACTAGAGCGAACGGTTCAGTGCGAATCGCGGTTATCGCGCGAAGAACAAACGATAATATCGATCTATATTCGTTCGTTCGTTGTTTGGTGCAAAGATCGAACAAACAGAGAGTGACATACATCGATGACATTATTATTATTATTATTAAGGACGGTTCGGATTGGGTTCATGGTACAATTATGCAAGGTGCGAGAATAGAGATTCGAATTCAATTTGATCAAGTGTGCCAATGTGACAGCTGTCAATGTTATGAATTTTATCATTTCATGGATTGCTACTTGGTGATTCTCGATTATCGCTGCAACCTTGTATACTTGTACCATGCATGAATACGTTTGTTTGGTTGCATACATGTATATATATTTATGCGATTTATATTATCGAATTACGTGTATTGTTGTTTGACAAAGTTGCGAACCATTCTTGTATATATATATAATTGTTTTTAAAGTACGTAAATAGTGTTGAGGGTGAGAAGAAACCTGTGGTTTTAGCCGTTTGGCTGTAATTCGTGTTCAAAGTTTAAAAAATGCTCGAAAAAGAAAGTTCAAAAAATCAATTATTTTTTTTACAATTTAGTGATTTCCTTGAAAACTATAATATATAGAATTGACCCAAAAGATACTTTAGAAATCTGTATA